ATAGATAGATAGATAGATAGATAGATAGATAGATAGATAGATAGATAGATAGATAGATAGATAGATAGATAGATAGATAGATAGATAGATATGACTTGTGCATTAATATTTAATCTTAAAATTGGATCACTGTCACACAGCGACGCCACTGGTTGGATTGTAATGACACGAGTGCCATGTTTGCTCTATTTAGAGGAAGATCAATAGTAACCCATATATCTGTCCTGGAGATCAATCGGAGCCTATTTCTGATCTCCATCGACGGCCTCTTCTTTGTTTATCCTCGCTCATCCTTTCCTTCCTCTCGTGGCGGAGAGCAGATCAAGCAAATGGTTGATGCATTGTGAACGTATAACATGTCAACAGCTTTATTGGTTTCACACACAGCCCAGCACGCTGTCCCAGTTTCCTGCTCTCTGCTTTTACTCCTCCTTTCTGTTTCTCCTTTTCTTTATTTCTAAATCACCGATTGCCAGCTAAAAATAGGCACCACTGTGGAACACATGAAGCTCATCATATTACATGCTTTGCATATAGACTTCCATCTACACGATCAGCTGTCTGGCAAACTCCACATTTAAGATTTTTCTTGTGTAAAACAAACCAGAGGTGTAACACTTGAGGGGCCAGTTTAAACCACACCAAACAAACAGGTGTGAAAGCATCTTGCAGCGTGTTGGCGTCGGCTGCATTCTTCTCTCGCTGCTGTAGCAGTTATTTTAACGATTGCGATGCTCGCTGTCTTGAAGCCGCCTGTGTTTGGAACAGCTTGGGTTTGCTCTCTGCACAAAGACTGTGTCTAAGAGGATGAGTTTGAGGGTGTTAAAGTGAAGGATGCTCTGTGTGTGAGTCGCTGCAGCAGAGGAGAAACTTAAAGCTCCGATTTATCTTTTGGCCCAAACAAAAAAAACTAACTAGCTCTGCTAAAACATGCAAAACAATATTATAAAGTTCTGTTAGTCTCATCCACAAATGTCTTTTTTTCATATCAATCGGTCGTTTTGTTTGCTTTTTCTCCACTGCCTCTGTCGGAGGCCGCGCTTGATGAAACTTTAATGAAAGCAAGAAGCTTTCAGTACGTCCAAAAAAAATCGTGTTTGTATTTTCAGCAAGAAAAACCAAAAAGCTCTTCCAGTTCAACTGCTTTTCCCATCAAACATTTACTGTTGAAGTGGAACAATGTAGAAGAAAAAGCCATCAAACGGCACCACAGAGAGAGTGAACACGATGCACTCTGGTTTATATCGGGTGTAGGTGTAAGTGAGACATGGGGGGTGGAGTACACGTGTTACTTATACTAATTGATCACAGTTTGCTTCTTGTGTTTTGTGACTGTGCTGTTGGGCGTGAGATTTATTATTGTTATTTGTGTCTACACACACACACACACGTGGATGTGGGTGTATGCTTGTTTGGGAGTACATCCAGTTGACGGATGCAGCTGGTGCATAAAATCTAATCCAGATATAAAGGGGAGAATAAAAACCTGATTGGCACAGAAAGAGAGAGCGAGAGCGTGTTTGACAATCAGTGCCACGGCTCATTAAGGCCCATAATACATCATTAGTGTGTTTGGATATACAGATGTATAGCTGATTGGAATGCAGCACACGTCGGCCATTTCCCTGTGTTTTGCTGCCTGCGTCATTTAGACAGCCATTCTCTGCATCAAGCTAACACTGCTTTCCATTATTTCGATGGCAAAAACAACTTCTTTTAAATGACAACAA